TGCCCAGGGGCGGGCATCGCGCCGGCAGGTGCACAGGGCTGCACGGTGCACGTTGCGTGGGTGCCTGGTGCACCATGCGTGGTGCACAGGTGCATGGTGCATGGTTGCGTGGTGCACAATACGTGGGGACATGGTGCATGGTGCACATTGCATGGTTGCATGGTGCACAATACGTGGGCGCATGGTGCATATTGCACAGGTGCATGGTGCACGGGCATGGCGCACATTGCATGGTTGCATGGTGCACAATACGTGGGTACATGATGCACGTTGCACAGGTGCATGGTACACAATGCATGGTGTGTGGTACACAGGGCATGGTGCACGGGGCATGGTGCACAATACGTGGGTACATGGTGCATGGTGCGTGTTCCACAGGTGCATAGTACACAATGCAAGGTGTGTGGTACACAGGGCATGTTGTATGGTGCACAATGCATGGGTACATGTTGCACGGCGCACGTTACATGGTTGCATGGTGCACAGTACATGGGTGCATGGTGCACATTGCACGGGTGCATCGTACACAGTGCATGGTGTGTGGTACACAGGGCACTGTGCACGTTGTATGGTGCATAATATGTGGGTACACGATGCATGGGACACGTTGCATAGGTGCATGGTACACGGGGCATGGTACACATTGCATGGTTGCATGGTGCACAGCATGTGGGCACATGGTGCACGCTGCATGGGTGCATGCTACACAATGCATGGTGCATGGTACACAGTGCACATTGCATGGTCGCATGGTGCACAGCACGTGGGTACATGGTGCACGTTGCACTGGTGCACGGTACATGCGTGCATGGTGCTCCACACCAATCCCCCCACCCTTCACACCAGGCTCAGGCATCCAGGCAAATGCGCTCAGCAACCCAAGCAGCTGCGCAGCCCTTGACATCAAGATTTCCCCCCCAAAAAACCCCAAATCTGTGCTCCTGCATCCCCTGCATCACTGGGAGCAGCAAACTGTGTTTACTCCCAGGAAAGCCCCCCCTCAGAGGCCGCTAATTGGATCACATGGACCGTTAGGCAAAAATGAGGTGTGGGTGAAACCGGGGCGCTGGGAAAGCCCGGGGGCGCCGCGGGCGGTGGGTATAAAGCACCCGCGCACCCCGGGCGGCACCCACAGCGCCGCGCTCGGAGCCCACGCGCTGCCTCTGCCCTCCGCTCGCCCCATGGCCTCCTCCCTGGAGCAGGCGCTGGCCACCATGGTCTGCACCTTCCACAAGTACTCGGGCCGCGAGGGTGACAAGTACAAGCTCAGCAAGGCCGAGCTCAAGGAGATGCTCAACAAGGAGCTGCCCGTCTTTGGGAGCGTGAGTGCCGCCTTCCCGCCGGGATAACCCCCGCGCCGTCCTGGGCGATGGTCAGGAGCTACCGGCCACGCGCAGACCCCCTTTGGGATGGAGGGAAGGGAGGAACTGAGGCCCAGGGAGGAGGAGGAAGAGGAGGAGGACGAGAGGGAGGAAGAGCAGAGCCCCTGGGCAGCAGCAGCAAGCCCATGCGAGAAGGCAACCCAGCTATTCTCAAMCCCCCAAATCCCTCTAGAAATATTCTAATTGGCAAAACAACCCCAARGTTCTCCCCTTTCACCCCTCCCCCCCCACTTCCATATTTTTTTGCACTTCCCCTTGTGGTTTCCAGCTCAAATCGTGGTGGGGGACCAAAGCTGTGGAGATTTCCCAGTAGGGGAGATGATGCTCCCGTCCCCAGCCYGGCAGCGCTGCCCGCTCCCGCACCCTCCTCGCAGGCTTGGACACCCAAGGGTGTCGGGGGGGACCAGCCCCAYGCAGGGTGCAACGCAGGGGTGGGAGGCGCTGAGCTGCTCCGCTCTGTCCCCCCCCCGCAGAAGCAGATGGATGAGAACGAGTTCCGGAGGATCATGAACGACCTGGACCACAACAAGGACAGCGAGCTGGACTTCCAGGAGTTCGCCTGCTTCATGGCCTGCGTGGCCATGGGCTTCAACGAGTTCTTCAAGGGCTGCCCAGCCCCACAGACCCGCAAGAAGTGAGCGCGGCCTCCCCGACCTCCGCCCCGGTTGCCACGAGGGCAATAAAAGCGTTGCTGAAACCTCCGAGCGGCTCTGCGGGCTCTGTGGGCAGGGAGAGCAGACGGGTGACTCACGGGCAGCCTCTTCCTGCCCCCCTCGCCCCAGAATTTTCCATGGAAATGCTCCCACGAAGCTGCTCCGAGCAGCAGGCAAAGCCTCGGGAAGAGCCCAGGTGGGACGGGAGGCAGGGCCTGGGGTCCCCTGGCTCCTGGCTCAGCTCCCGGATTCCTGGGAAGCAGCCCGGGCTGTGGGAGCTGCTGATCCCGGCTCCGGCTCCTCCCGCAGCTGGAGCCTCCTCCCCACGCTAGGATTTGCACCCGCTTCCTAATAGGGCGCTGGGCCAAAACAGGCTTTGGAAAAGGGAGCTGGGAGAAGGGGGATCTCTCCTGGCTCCGTCCCCTTTCCCAAAGGGTTCTCCTCCCCATGCTCCAGAGGTTTCCAGGAGGAGCTGTGGGAACGCTGGCGTGTTTTCCCTGCGGTTCCGGCCATGTGTGCAGGCCACACGGAGCCTGGAACAGCCACGTTGCGCAAGGCAGCGCCAGGGAAAGGAGCCCGGCGGGGTCGGGAAACGCGCAGCAGCGGAGAGGGATTCCCGGCACCCCCGAACCTCGGGGCTGCAAGGACGAGAGGCAGCGGGGGAAGCGAGCTGGGGTCTCCGTGTCCCCCCCCGTGTCCCCAGAGGCCGCTGTCCCCAAAGGCGGCCCTGGGGTGGGCAGCGGCAGCCCCGGCAGCTCCTGTCACCCGGGCCGGGTGGTGCCGGGCCGCATTTTTGCCCCGCTGAGTCACGGGCCGGGCGGCCGCTCCCGGYGCCGGGCCGGGGCCTCGCGGAGCTCCCGGCGAGGCCGAGCTCCCTGCTCGTTATCAGCGGCTCGGGGCTCCCGGGGGCAGCGCGGGCGCCGGCGGGGGCGGCGGGTGCAGCCCCCCCGTTCCCGGCGCTGCGCAGCCCGGCAGGGAGATGCCGGGGGAGTGGAACGGGGAGGGGGGGGCACCGAGGGCGGCGCCCGGACGGGAGCGGCTCCCCGCGAACCCCCCCCCCGCCGGGGGAGGACCCGCCGCCTCTATAAGAGCGAGGAGGAGCCGGCCCGGCCCGTCCCGCCGCTCCGCTCCCGCCGGTAAGTGCCTCGCTGCCGCCTTCCCCGCAGCCGCCCCCTCCCCGGGCGGCTCCGGAGGTGCACGGACCCCTGCCAGATGTGCACGGACCCCTGCCAGATGTGCACGAGCCCCTGCCAGATGTGCACGGGGCTGTCCCGCCCTGGGGCTCCCTGCATTACCGCGTCGATCCCCTTTGCTCGTCCCCGCCTCTTGGGAATAACAGCGGCAATGTGGGGCCGTGGCGGGGGGCCCGGCACTGCCCCCCTCACCCCGCTCGCCTGCAGCCTCCAGTCATGGCAGCCCCGCTGGACCAGGCCATCGGGCTCCTGGTGTGCATCTTCCACAAGTACGCGGGCAAGGAGGGGGACAAGAACACGCTGAGCAAGGCCGAGCTCAAGGAGCTCATCCAGAAGGAGCTGACCATCGGCTCGGTGAGTGCTGGGCCGCYGCATCCCGCTGCGCCGCCCCGTTGCCGCGTCCCGCTCTCCCACTCCCGCCTCTCTTCCCCGCTCCAGAAGCTGCAGGAGGCCGAGATCGCTGGGCTCATGGCCGACCTGGACCGCAACAAGGACGAGCAAGTGAACTTCACGGAGTACGTCACCTTCTTGGGAGCCATGGCCATGATTTACCACGAGGCGCTGAAGGAGTGCAAATAGCGGAGCCGCCCGCAGCGGGGGGGCCGGGGCGGCGGGGGGGCGGGGCGGGAATAAAGTCCCTTTTGTAAAGTTTCGGGTTATTTTTGTTCTTTCAATAAAGCATCATGGTCGTCATTGATTTTCTTGCTTTATTTGCTTTGTTCCTCTCCTTTGGGCCAGGGGGGATGAGGATGTGGGAGATCCAGGGAGGGGGGTGCTGAGGAGGAGGAGGGACAGGGGAGGAAGCAGAGCTGTGGTCAGGGCCGCATCCTGGTCCTGTCCTTGCCGAGACCTGAAGGGGACAGGACGGGGGGCAGCAGCTCCCAATGGGTTGGGGGGGGATGCAGGGGACCCTCTTGTCCTTGTGGGGGGCTCCTGAGCAGGAGCACGGCCCAGTGCAGGGATTGGGTGTGGCGGATTGCAGTGGCAGAGCTGGGAATAGCGTGGATATTCCCAGGGGGACTGAGCTCTCCGCCTGCTCCAGCAGAGCCCCAGCTCCCGGGATGCGTCACCCGGCATCACCCAGGGTGTCCCCAYGGGTGGCGGGAGGCGGAGCCCCCCGCGGGGGCCGCGCGGTGCCGACACGACGGCGGGCACGGCCGCTCCGAGGGTGCCGCGCACCCATTCACGCCTCGGGGACAGCCGGCGCGTGTCCCGGCTGGCGCAACGCGCCCCACGTCCCGCCCATCCACCCGGGGCTGTGCAGGGACGGTCCCGACTGGCTCCTTCCTGCTCCTTCCAGGACATCCTGGTGTCCCAGAATCGGCAAATCCATGCTGGGGCTTGCACCGCTTTTGCACAACCTTTCCCTAACCTCTGCCCAACCTTTCCCAGCGAGAAAATCCCCCGCTACCCCCTGCCAAAACCCACCCGGTTGCAGCTCCCTGCACAAGAGACCCTGTCCCCCSGGTGCCCCCGGCCTCTCCCAGGCCCGAGGCGCCCGGCGCCGCCGCCCTGGGGAGCCGCCGCTTCCCGGAGCCGGGCGGGAGCTACCGGCCGGGGCCTTGCACAAGCGCCGGCCTCTCCCACCCTGGGCGCCGCGAGGGGTGCCGAGCGGGCGCGCGGGGACCTATAAGAGGCGCCGCGCCGGCAGCGCCGCCCGCACCGCCACTCCACGCCACACAGGTACGCGGGGGCTGCGGGGCGGCCGCGCGGCGCCCGCTCCGGAGGCYCCTCCGAGCCCTCCTCATCCTCTCTCCCGCAGGTTCAGCACCATGAAGACCGACCTGGAGCTCGCCCTGGAGTGCGCCGTCAATGTCTACCACCAGTAYGCCCTCAAGAAGCCCCTGGATGACTACCTGGACCGCGGCGAGTTCAAGGCGCTGCTGAAGGACACGGCCAAGCCCTTCCTGGACAACACGACACCGGTAAGGGCTCCTGGGGAGGGTTGGTARGAGGTTCCTTGGGTCACCCATGGAGGTGGCTGGCCGAGAAGGAGCCCCGGGCTCTGCYGAGCTTCACTTTTCCGGGGTGTCCCGTTGCAGCCTGGCCTGTCCGCGGACGCCTACATGGAGCAGCTCTTCTCCAAGGCCGATAGCAACCACGACGGGCGCCTGAAGTTCACCGAGTTCCTGAGCACCCTGATGCTCGTCGTCATGGAAGCCCATAAGAGATCCCACAAGGATCCCAATGAGCCTGGTCATGGCCACGGCCATAGCCATGACCACGGTCATGGCCACGGCCATGGTCATGGCCACTAGCTCTGAAGCAGGTCCTGGTGACCGTGTCCGAGACCTCGTGCTATTCCTATCCCGTTGTCTGTGTCTGCTCTTGAAATAAAGGTCCTTTCTCCCAGCACCGAATGGGTCTGTGTCCTGTTGCCTCAGGAGGGCAGGGGAGGGGGCAACGTGTTCACCCCAGCCCCTGGCATGGGGCAGATGCTGCTCACGGGGGCCTGGGGAGGGGGGTCACAGAGGCCTTCTGGCACGTCCTGCCACCTCTCCTTGGGGACCAAGGGACGCGGTGCTCGTGAGGCTCGGCTCAGCGTGTGGGACAAACTGCAGAGTTTTCCTCGGTGGCACCGTGCTCATGAGCCCCCACGGCRGGGGACACCAAAGAGGGGAAGCGGCTCCTTCTCCCTTGGGGTTTGCAACGACCCGAGCAGGAGTCACTCAGCCCTGGAGGGCCCGAGGCACCGGCTGCACCCCGGMGCGAGGGGGGACATCGGGGGGCCCTCGCTGCCCAGGACCTGCCTCGCTGCATTGCCGTCTCCCCCCAGCTCCCCTCCGTGGCTCCCCCAGCCCCAGGAAGATGCCCCGGGCCGTGGGGCCCCTGTCCCCCAGTGCCAGCCCAGCCGGGGAGCCAGGTGACCCCCCCACGCCGCCGGCAGCCCCCGCGGGCAGGGCAGGAGAGGGGACGATGCCCTGAGTGAGCGAYGCCGGTGGGGAAGCGCCTCCGCCCGGAGCGGCGACCCTCCCGTTTCTTCCCGTCCCTGCCCTATTCCCGTAACCTGCGCTGCTATTTTTACCCTGCTCCACAATGTCTTCATTGTGCTTCCAGTACCTGTTCTGCTTCCAGGACCTGTTTGTCCCCTGCAACAGCAGGGCCATTGAGCTGCTTTTGCAAAACCCTTGCTGGGTAAGAGGCAATGTCGGCGCCTCGACAGCCCGGGCTCTTGCTCGGAGCCTCTGCCGCGTTTCCAGAGCAAAAGGGAGACGGGAGCACGAATGAGGGGCGAGGAAACCATGGAGGAAAAGCAACATAGCGTGGGGTGGATACGACCTGCACCAGCGCTGGTGCTCACCACGCACTGGCCTTGCCATGGGTGCAGAGCCTGGGAGCCCATGTGCAGCACTGGGCGGGGGGGAAGCCGTCCACGTGTCMCCCCCCGCCGCTGTCCCCGATTCCGTGCTCAGCGTGGCCAAATATCCCCAGAATGTCACAAAACCTGCAAGGTCCCAGCCCGGCCCGTCCCGGTGCACRCGGCGGTTGCACAAGCGCGCCCAGCATCGCCCCTGGCCGCGGGCGCTTGCGGCCGCCCCGGTGGGCGCTACCGGGAAACGGGCGCCGGGGAGGTGACTTCCCACCTTGCAATTTCCAGGTACGGGAAAGGGCAGCTCAAGCTGCTGCTTGTCGCCGGTGCGTCACGCGCGCTAATGAGAGAGGCCTCCGAGGCGGATAAAAGGGCCCTGGGCTCCCCGCAGACAAGCCAGGTCCCCCAGACCTCCTCGACAGCAGGTAGGTGACAGCGCGCGGGCTCGCGCGGCTCCGCGGAGCGGCCACCGCGCGGGACCGGGCGGTTTGGGCTGCAACGGGGCTTTTTGCCATTGGAAAGCCACCGTGCTTTCACGGTGGGGCTAGCGGCACGCGCGCTTGGCGGCCCAAAGGGACATCAGGGATGGAGAGGCAAGGTCCATCACCGAGCCACCTCCATGCCCTTAAATAACTAGCCCTTTATAGGTCGAGAGGTTCATTGTAGGTCTGTAGATCTGGAGGTTTATTATAGGTCTATAGATCTGGAGGTTTATTATAGGTCTATAGGCCTATTATGGACTCATAGGCGCCGCGGGGCCGGTCTGTGCAACGCCGTCAGGTCAGCGAGCGCAAGCCACAATCAGAGGCGGGTGCCCGGGAGCCGCTATCCGGCGGGAGCCTCCCCCTGGGAAGAGGCTCCGCTGCGACGCCGYGGGTTTTTCCGCAGGTATCCACGTGCCCGGCCATGTCCGTCGCTGCCACCAGCCTTTCCCAGCCCCGGCGGCTCCCGGGAAACTGCAGCATGGAGACAGCGCTGAAGACCATCGTGGACGTCTACCACCGCTACAGCGCGCGGCAGGGCGAGCTCGACCTGCTCAGCTCCCAGGACTTCCAGCAGCTGCTCACGGAGCAGGCGCCCACCTTCCTGGCTGCCTGCGTGAGTGCGGCGAGCTCGGGGTGCTCATAACTCAGAGGGGGGCCCCGGGGGGCCACGCGGCTTCCCAAACCCACCCTTGTCGCCTCTTACAGGGCAGGAGCCGCCACGGCTACTTGGAGAAGCTCTTCAAGGAGACCGACGTCAACCGGGACCGCGAGCTCTCCTTCGAGGAGTTCTGCATCGTGCTGGCCAAGCTGGCCGATGACGCCCATCGCATCAGCCACGGCAGCGAGCGCTGCGGGCAGGAGGCCGACTGAGCGCGGGAGCCTTGGGCTGCGGCTCCTGCCCCGCAGCTCCCATCCCGCCGAGCAATAAAGCATCCCCTGAAGCGCCCCCGTCTCCTTCCTATTCCGCCTGCACCCGCCCCACGGGAAGTGGGTTCAGTTCGTTCGTGCCCAGGCTCTTCCGGATGCGGAATGACCAAAGTGCAAAATGACCAAGAAAAGGCTTTAATTTCCACAAGGATAACTCACAGCGGGAYGGGGTCCCCACCTGCAGGACAGGCYGGGGGCTCCTGGTGCGTCCTGGAGGATGCTTTCCCAATGCACATTAAGAGTTTCCACCAGATGGGGAATGCATTTAACCCCGCTGTCCCCAAATTCCAGAGGAAAGCTCAAAACGCAGCTTTTTCCCCCAGCTCCCCCCGAGCCCCTGCATCACCCAACGCCCCTTGATGGACCCGCACAGCTCCCTGGTGCAGGGCCCCTGTGCCAGGTCTATCACCCGCCACAGCCGCCTCCCATTCCTTCCTGCTCCGTGCCCGAGCTCATCCCGCACGGAGCCGGCTGCAGCGCCTGGGGGCGGCCCCAAAGCCCCGCGATGATGCCGAGACCGCAAGAGCTGCAGTTTCCTGGCATTGCCACCGTTCCGCAACGCGGCCGCTGGTGCCCACCGCCCTCTTGTGAAACGTCCCGGCCCTGCCGTGCACCGAAATGTTGGGAAACGCATCGCGGCCCCTTAGCAAAGCGCTGCCCACGCACGGGCCTGCCGAGCAGCGCCCGGCTGGACCCACGGGCCCCAGGCCCAGCGCATTGTTGGCCCGGCCTGACACATGCTTGAAGAAAACGGTGCCAGCAAATCTTGTCCTGCTGCTGCTGCAGCCGCCCAGGATGAGCGGTCTGGGTAAAAATAAAAATACACCTTGCGCCCCACCCTGGCCCTGTGGTTTGAGGGAAAACATTGACGGTGGAAAAACCGGCTTTGGTGGCAGCTGCACGGGAGGTGCCAGGGCCAGCCGGGGTCCCCAAACTGGCTCCATGTTGCACGGGTGGGTGCTGGGCCGGGGAGAAGCTCTGCACCCGTCGGGGGTGGCCCTGGGGGCTCCTCCTGGGGGGTGCATGAAAAGCGCCCCGAACTCTAAGCATAGACCAGGCTGGATGGAAGCAGTGGGGAAGGGGACACTCCGGGAGCGGGTATGAGCTGCAGCCGKGTCACTGATGCCACCGTGCCCCGGGTGCCTCCGGCCGGGACGTGATGCTCCGGCGGTGCGGGAAGAGCCGCAGAGACCTGTTTGAGGAAGTGGCAGCTCCCGGCCTTAGGCAACGCAGGACGATGTCGTGAGCGCGGACTGGAACTGGATGAAACGGGGGGTGTTTCACAAGCGGGGGGCAGCCGGGCGGGCTATAAGAGCCGCTGCTCTGCGAGCATCTCCGCTCCGGTCCAAGTCCGCGCTGCCGCTTTGCCGAGATGAGCAAGGTGAGTTGAGGGCTGCTGGGGACCCTCCCTTCTCGTTTGCAGGTCTGGAGCAGTTTGCAGACCGCTGATCCTGCCCCTGCGGCCTCGCTTGGGTTGCCTGAGCTGTTGGCTCCAGTGGTAGCTCCAGCTGTTTGGCCAGCAGCTCTTCCCAGCTTGTGCTGGTTATGCTGGAGCCTTGCTGGGCAGCATCAGCAGCCCTCTGGTCTCCTGCATTTCCCCCTCCATCCTTCTCCTTGCAGACCTGCCAGACAGCCCAGGGACCACTCTCCGAGCTGGAGAAGTCCATCGACACCATCATCGATGTCTTCCACCAGTACTCGAGGCGGGAGGGGGACAAGGATACCCTGAGCAAGATGGAGATGAAGCTTCTGGTGGAGAAGCAGCTTGCAAACTACCTGAGGGTGAGTCCCAGGGGAAGGGGGASACCGGGGCTGGGATGTGGCTGGAGCGTCACCTTCCCCCCTTGCCCCTTCCCTTGCAGCATGTGAAGAACCAGAGCTCCCTGGACCAAATCTTCAAGGACCTGGACACCGACAAGAACCAGCAGCTGAGCTTCGGCGAGGTGATGCTGCTCATCGTGCGGGTCACCATCGCCACCCACGAGCACCTGCACTTCTGCGAGGACCACCACCAGCAGCACCACCACCAGCAGCAGCACCACCACTGAGCAGCACCGGGGCCCCCGCCGCGGCTGCCTCCCTCCCCACGCGGCCCGTCGCTTCCCCCATCCATTAATAAAGATTTGCTGATGCTGTCAAAGCCCTGGTGGCCGTGGCGTGGGTTTTCCTCAAGGGACCTACTCCTACGGCGGATTAAAYGGAGCCGAGAGAGGGTTGTAGCAGGATGGGGGGCTAGGAGACGTGGGAGCTCAGGGGTGGAGGAACTGGGGGCTCACAGAGCACCGTGGTGCAAATCCCACCCAAGTGGGATTCCCAGAGCTGGGGAAAGGGAAGGAGCGCTCCCATCCACCCGGGATGGGATGGAGCACAGTGCTCCGGGTCTACGGAGACGGTCCCTGCGACAGACCACGGCTGGCGGGGACGCACAGCGGGGAATCGCCCCCGGCCACCAAGGGAGTCACCGGCAGAAGCGGTTTGCAGGAGGGAGGGGAGGAAAAGGAAGCGCTGCCATTTCCCAAGAGCGCCTCGAGCGCTGAAATCGCCGCGAGGAAGGAGCC